GAGAGAGAGAGAGAGAGAGAGAGAGAGAGAGAGAGAGAGAGAGAGAGAGAGAGAGAGAGAGGAAGCCAGAGGTAATAAGAGAGAGTTCCAGGTTAAAATGTTTATCATACAGGTTTTATGAAATCTTAAGATTTGTTTAAACTTGAGCAGATGATCCATCAGATGCAGGAGCACAACAAGGATTGCACAATGGAGCACTTGGTCATCATAGTGAGCTGACTCCATTATATATAAAATGTATACTGGAAATTATCAATGCTGCTTTTTACCCTCTTTAACAGCATGTACAAGCCTTTTGATTACTTACAAAAAAAAAAAACTGAAGCAGGAGAGGAAGGATTTTAAATCAATTCCAAACCAAGTTGTAAAATGGAATTTGAATTTCAGTCACTTTTTGATCATGGTGGAAATATAGGCTACATAAGAACGAAAGTATCATTTCAGACATCAAGGGTCTGGTTTATAATTTAATGTGTGATGTGAATGAATGTTACATGACAGAAATAACAAATATCTAAATCAGCAGATTTTTTTGTTTATTTAAAAATTCTAATCAAGTATATAACATAAAAATATAACACACAAGCTTTTCATTTCACAGATCGATTTACGTAAAACCTGCAAAACGACAGTTGTCTATTTTTGAATGGCAGCGGCCGGCGCTATGAAGCAATGTCATCTCTCTCTCTCTCTCTCTCTCTCTCTCTCTCTCATTTACCTTGCCTGACTCCCATTCGCTCTCTCGCTCTCTCTTCAAAGCGATGGAAAGATCTTATGAGAGTCAGGGTAGGTGGTCAGCGGTTTCGTGTTGTCATTGACCGCGCACGAGACGTATCTGTCGAGACAGACAATACGTACGCGCTGGCCAGAAACGTATTCCCTGAATAATTAAAGATAGGGAGAAGTCGATGGAGGACGTTGTATTGCTTCGTAGAGGGAAAAAAAAAGAATACTCACCTCACCTGGAGCATGCAGGTTTATTCAGGTGCTACTTTAATAATATCAGTTTAATAAACTTCGATTTAATTTTCTTAAATCAATTTCAAAGCCAGCACTATGCGGGCTGTATTATTTGATATATAGTTTTTAGGGTTTAAATCTAACTTTAAATATTAATTTTATATAAATATTATAAATGTGTACAAATAACACATAAACATGCATCGTTTTCTGAAAGTGTTAACAATCAATTCTCCATTCGCACGAAGCTACAGGATGCTGCTGTGTGAAATGTGGAATAACTACTAGCAGCGCAGACCTGCAGCGAAACGAACAGTAGCCCTCACTGCAGAACACAATATCCAGGGGGCGTGGTTGGATCCACATCTAGGGGCTGGAGATTGGTAGGTTTAGGATTGGAGATGGGGGGCATTCGCACGAAGCTACAGGATGCTGCTGTGTGAAATGTGGAATAACTACTAGCAGCGCAGACCTGCAGCGAAACGAACAGTAGCCCTCACTGCAGAACACAATATCCAGGGGGCGTGGTTGGATCCACATCTAGGGGGGTGGAGATTTGTAGGTTTAGGGGTGGAGATGGGTGGGTTTAGGGATCAGGGGGTGGAGAGGGGTAGGTTTAGGTATAAGTACGGTGGGAGGAGTTGGATCTGATCCAACCACGCCCCCTGGATCTTGTGTTCTGCAGTGAGGACCATCCCGAAATGGATAAAGAGATGCATTCGTTTCAGGTGTCAAGCTGGAAAAAAGGCGAACTCTAATTGGCTAGAAAATCATTTATGCTGACGGGAGGAGTCCGCTCTCGGCCTCTGCCTCATATACAACTCTTTTGCACACTGGTTTTTGACTAGTCGCTAGTGTGACTACCTGTGGCGATCATCCTGACACTTATCCTCGTAGGCACGAGTATCTTTTGAACCGTAGGTGCGTGTCCTGGAGTGAGGAGATAAGAAGGTCGGTTACTCTTCTTGGACTATTTTTTTTTCAACCTCTGCTTTTCTCCCAACGCATAGGATTTGGTTTCGAACATTATCTGAGGATCTACCTCAGTGTACACCAACACATATAGCTGAGGTAATCAGCTGTAGTGGCATTTTTGTGGTATTTGCACGCGCGAGATCTCTATGTTTGAGGGCACCGCTCGCGCGCAGCCCCTTGAAAGTGGGGAAGTGTCGCACCGCTGCCGGCGACTTTAAACGCTCCTGTCCCACGACAGACGCGCCAACTCTGATTTTATTATATAGCCATTTAAGCGTACGCTGTCATAGGTGTACTCAATCATTTAGACTTATATTTAAGACATTCAAGAAAACAACACTTGGGAAAAACACGCGCTGGATGAGGTTAAGGTTTTGTTTTTTTTTAACCGCACACGAAAATTTGCATTCCTGTCTTACGGGAAAACTTCTACAGATGATGGCGCTCCCTGCGGACCCCCGGTGGATGATGCATGCTCATCATTCAGCTTTAATGGGTACCTCAGATTCGGTGTCTCCGCACGCTGGTTTAGGACATCATAGTTCGGGATATATGGAGCCAGGTACCCCATTATTGCCACCAGACGAGGTGGATGTATTTCTCAGTCATTTGGACTCTCAAGGAAACCCCTATTATCACACACACGGGTCCAATTCTCATACTCGTGCACGAATGTCTTACAGTCAAACGCATGGTGAGTAGGCCTGGAGCTCTTTTTTTTTTTGTCAGTGTTATATTTTGGCACAATTTTGAGATTGAAGGAAATGCTTTTTACTGTAACACTTCTTTTTTTACTAAAACTATCGGTCATATTTATTGGGTCACATTACTGAATGTAGCCTAGCCTTTAGTGTCAAACAGATTTAATTTTTCACCATTATCAGATCCATCTGCGAGGTGATTTTATAGATGCTTCTCTCCTGCCAATATAATATTTTTATTGCTCTTATTATACATAATGTTATTGTGTAATTATGTGATATCAATTTCAAAGAACACAAGTTCGAATTCAGTTTGACGACTCTTAACAAATGGGCTGGAGCTTGAGGTTACGCATACTGCTTTCTCATTGTAATTGTGCTGAGTGTATTTACAAATAGCCTATTACAAAATAAACAAATTTACAAAGAATATTATTTTTATATATTTACATTTAAATTTTTTATATTATATTGGATTATATTAATAGGTTGTATTAGATTAGAGTTATGTTTTAATGTTTTAACGAAGTTAACATTTCGTTTCGCGGAAGTTAAAATAAGATCTAACTTTGAGGGAAAATATGCTGAAAAATATTCTGATAGATTAAAAATAAGTAATGTAGGCCTATTAAACATTCTGAGATGTTAATAATAATTCCAATTGATTAATCTGTACGCTTCTCCACTGAAAAATCTGGCCTTTTCTTTTTGGCAGCACGGTTTACGGGTGGCTCAATGTGTCGACCTCACCTTATTCACACTCAAAGTCTTTCTATACTGGACAACAGCAAATCGACTTTACCGGCGACCCAGCACCACGGCACATGGACCGTCAGCCACCTGGGCAAAGCGGTTCTACATTCAGCAGGCGCCGAAAGCTCTAACAGCCTGTACACGGGCACCGGTACGCATGGCCCAGGTTCGATGCCGTGCCTGTCAATGACGCAACACTGCAGCCCTCAACTCTACTGCCTGCCCCCTACTCCACCCAAAGATGCGTCCCCTGACCCTGCTTGTGCTGTGGTGAGGGACGCTGGGAAGTACCATCTCCATTTTGTCGACGGGATGAAGATGGAGTGCTCCAGTCCAATCCGTGGCAATCTGGCACAAACTACAGCTCATGTACCTTCATATTCTGAGTACGCACTATCTGGAGCGCACGAGTACCCAGGCAGTGTGTTTCATTCCAGAAGTCTGCTTGGGAGCAGCGCGAGCAACATGACGTCAAAATGCAAAAGCAAAAGCCGCGCTTTCTCAGGTAAGTTCAGAGTTCATAATTCATAATTCATATTAACAGTGGAACTTACAACAGGTTAATTGTCTAGCTTTAAACATCCGGTAAATGAACCAAACATAGTTTTCATGTAATAGTAGGCTATAATTTCATTAGCCTATGTACCGAATAATAACATTTTCTACTATATAATTATTTTATGGAGCAGATAAATACCCATTGGAATTGCAATATACGTGTAACATGGACTCTGTTGCCACAACTTTGTTGCAGTAGGCACAGTTTATGCATCTGGACTGAAATAAAGGAAAATGCACTTATTGTAATATATAATATTCAATATTATTATCTAAAGATAATCTGAATAAGTAATCTGACGACACAGATTACTTTTATATAGATATAGATAGATTATTTTTATATTTAATAACATATATTCAGATTTAATTTTAATTAGTTTTATTTTGGCTTTTTGACACAGTAATACTTAATAATTAGTCAAAAAACATAATTTGCATTATTAGTATTTTTATTATTTAGAATGGCATAAATAATAATAATGTATGTTGTATTTATTTAGGGCTGTTTTGGGCCATGTCTAATGGTTTAATTTAACACACTTGACAAGGAATGATTGTAATGTAACAAGTTATAAATAACTTTTAATTTAAGTCAATGTAATAAATTGTTTTACCTTTGAATATTGTTGCTTCCTGTTGGGTGCTATTTATTAGATACCCATCAAATGACGGCACTTACTGGTAGACACAGTTGGAAGACTGATATCCCAAAAGTATGAAAGTGTGAATATCCGTGAAACAAATGTCTATTTATCTGATTATCTGTCTATCTCTGCGCATAATAAATATAGTCAGCATGAATACGTTTTTTTTTATTTAAAATTTTTTATTTCCTCCTCATTTTGTGCATCTCTGTGCATAATGTGTGCCGGAAGGGCGTGAATGTGTGAACTGTGGAGCTACATCAACTCCTCTGTGGCGGAGAGATGGAACAGGTCATTATCTGTGTAATGCATGTGGACTCTATCACAAAATGAACGGCCAGAACCGACCACTCATCAGACCCAAGCGCCGACTGGTAAGTGCCATACACGTACGTATGCACACTCTTACATAAACACATTTCAAAGTTTGAGCTATAGAATCTGTCTGACAAAACAATTTACATTGTATTTTGGCAATGACAACGTGTATATATATATATATATATATATATATATAGAGAGAGAGAGAGAGAGGAAATCTTTTTTTTCAGTCATTGTCTAAATGTTAATGAAAAATTAAACAGTTGATGTATGTGGAGCTCTACACAGTATTAACACTTAAGGAAAAACTGTTATATGTTGTAGTATTTCACATAGTAGTATACATGATATACATGTAGTACAGTATATCATTCTATATTGTGCCTATGTAATGTATGATGTCTGCTGCATTACATCTTGGTCTAATCTGTCGACACGACAGATCTCGTCACAGTTGCTGCTGATGTGTCCTACGATGAGAATAGAGGCCAATCCTTGAGGCACATAATAGAATTACATGCACCGACAGAGAATGTGTACAGACAATGGAGTGAGAAGGACAGAAAAAGAGTGAAAGGCATGTGTCTGGGTGTGTGTAATGGACCACTGAGTTTCCGTGGCCCTATTGAAGGGTTTAAATAGCAAGTAATGAATTAGAATTCATTAACATGTCAAGTGTAAAGTTGATCAGAAATCAGATACTTCTTTCCAGGCATCCACCTATCATTTTACCTTATTTTATGTATTCCATGATTGTAATGTTATTAATTCCTCTCCACCAAATATATGTTTATGCTGAATAATTTCAGAATTTTAAATATAAGCTGAAAATTTTCAGGATTTTATAAATAAGTGGACACTGATCGCAATTTCATATTCATGAAAGTGCAGTGTGATGGTTAAGCACAGGGCAGCTGCAGAACTGCTGTCACTGGAGGGAAATGTAATAAATCAACTTGAAAGTGACTGCATCTGTGTATTTTGTGTGACCCTCCATTTAGAGTGTATTAGCTATAAATTAGGCTGACTAGCTTCGGGTCTTATTCTTTAGACAGTGTGTGACGAGTGCTTCTGCATCAGCTACAGGTCGTATATTTGAAGAGCACCTGCAGAGACCGCTCGGTCCATTTGTTTCCTTGGCAGGATGTCTGCTTGGTACCGATAATTTTGTGAGACCCAAAATGCTTCCTTTTCCGTTTGTTTTCTTGCTGTATTTTCTTTTGGCATGTTGAGAATCTACTATATCTGTATAGTTATGTGAATTTATGGTGTTTGAGGGCGTACTTCTATTTGACATGTGAGTTTGAGAGACAAGTTAAAGTAAAGTAAATTAATTAAAAATAATATTTTTTATAATACTTAAGCAATAGGCTATACTCTTACTTCTCTTACTGTATAACACAAGGCTGCATGCAGTTTGTTAAAATGGCTCATAGAGTCTTGAAAAAAGAATACTGTCAAGACAGACCAATACAAAGATATCTTAAAATGCCATTGTATTGGTTTGTCAGCTGTGTTAGTAACATTAATGTAATGTTGTCACATTATAAGAGAACATTTTCTGTGCATCTCTGTAGTCCAGTATATGTCCAAAAGTACAGGACAGAGTGGTATGCTTGTCTACATTTTCTGACAGTCCACACAGGATTTGGACCAGCAATCTTCATATTATTGCTATAGGGTCTTTCATTATGTTTTAATGTTCATAATGTGTAATAAGATTTTGCACAGGAGAAAAATATACATTTATGAAATAATTAATAACCTTTATATATATATATA